TCATGTGCCTGCTTTGTTAAGTAGTTTTAATTTACACGGTGTTTTGTTTCCTATCTTTTCTATGCACCAGCACTGACCGCTCAGGCAGTTTCTAGGACAAGACCCTAAACAAAATTGTCAAGTAGGCTAATTTTGATGCTGTTCGTCCTAGCCTCCTCTTGTGAAAACTCCATAGGAATCCCTCTTCTCTTGCGCCTTCTTGACTTTCCAAAGCTTTTTTTCTGCTTTGGTGTCCCAGGAATGAATTGCTTTATGCTCCAAAATTACCATTTTTTTCCCTTTCCTACTCATAGCTCTTTAACCTCTTTTCTTCTTCTTCGCATTCCAATCCCCAGCTCCAGCCCTTCCCTTCATATTGAAACTGTTCCTAAAGATCCAAGCTTATAGTCCTCACACTTATCAAAGTTACTGTGTATGTTTGTTTGTGTGTCATTCCACCCTGTGTCTAACTTCTCTACCACTTCCGAAACTCCTCCTGCCTCACCCTTTTAGACACTCCATGGTGGAACAGTGGGGCAATTTTAGAGCCATTTGTTTTGTAAAGGAGACAAGGTGCCCGTCCCTCTACATAAAACTTGTGAAATTGATGAAGTGTATCTCAAACACCCGTTTCTCTTTCAGCACTCTTTTCTGTAGTCACTGCTTTTGAATCTCTTTACACCTCCCACTATAAACTAAGGCATCTTCTCTAGTGTATGAAGAGTAGTGTTCATTCATTTAAACATGTCATGCTTAAATACCCTTTATAACTGAGAAATATAGGTAGCATATCTTGTGTCCAGGTCCGCTTTTCCATAGATTTAATGCACATAATTACTGTTTTCAACTGTGACAACTCTCTTCTAAATTATTAATGGTTTATTATATAAGCTTTTTTACTAAAATTATGATTTAGTCTGCATTTGTGTAACATCAGAAAAGACGAGAGTGATGGTAAGTACTTATATTTGTATGAGAGATGTGCCAGTGAAACCTTAACCTCTTACAAGATTCATCCAAGAGTCATATTCAAAAAAGAGTAACTTATTTTAAAATTATTTGGAAGAATAGAAAATGGAAATAATAAAATCCTTCCAGAAAAAAAAAAAAGGGACATATGAAAACTGTGTGTCTATCTATCTGTCTATCTATGATTTGCCTGACCCTACACTTGGCTTAGTATAATGATAATAACCTGTCAGCATCCAAGAATAAATGATTTTTTAAAAGTAGAAAGGCTGAAAAACCGCTGGGATAAAAACCATAATACTCAAACTTCCCAAGTGTTTTTGACAAATAGGAGATAGAGGATTGGAAAATATATTCAAGGGTCTCGCCCATGAACCTGAGGCAGGCAGAAAAATATGTCTGTACCTTGTCAGGAAAGGGAAAGATAATTTTCATCTCATAATTAGGAATGAATTTTAAATGACCTGGGGATATTTAACAAGATCTGTTAGCAATATTTTCTGAAAACTTGTTAGTTTTATTAAATACTAAGGGTTCATTGCCGGTTGATTTTTTGTGAATTTAATAACCTAAAAGTAGATTTAAAGAAATGAAAATTTCTACCCTTTCTTTTATTCCATTATTTAATGGTATGCTGTGTGAACGGCAAATTATATTCCTAATTTTTAGGAATATAAGCATGAGTTGTCATACTACATTCTCAAGAGCTGTTTGCAGTAATATTTTTCTTTTATTTTGATGGAGCAACTGAGGCACAAAAACACACTTAAAATTACTGCAAAAATAATTTTCTGAGATGGTTATCTCCCTGTCTGTATTGTTATTATTATTATATTCTTTGGCTTTAACTAAAAGAAATTTATTTCTTCACAGTAAAGTAGGCTAAAAGTCCAAATTCAGGGCGTCATCTCCAGGGGAAGGCTTTCTCTCTCTGTTGAGCTTCTCATCAGCGTTCCCCTAGACTAGGAGCTTCTCCACGCAGGGACCCCAGGTCTAAAGCATGCGCTCTGCTCCCGGCTTTGCTTTCTTGGTGGTATGAGGTCCCCCTTCCCTGTCTGTATTTTAATAGTAGCAACGATTACCTCCCTTGTAGAGGCTATTACTGATTCCAATTTGCAACAAAATGATTTGTGCAAAATTGATGAAGTCTGTGGCATATCTTCCATGTTACTGTCTTCCAGAGCTTTGCTTTATCACACTAATTATCTGGAAGTTTCTGGAAAGCAAAATATAAATACAACATTATTACCATTACTTTTCTGTTCTTCAAGGGAAAACCCAAACGTTAAAGAGGTCATGAGTTATCAATTTCTCATTGGGTGAAAGGAGAGATTTCCTGTAATCTAAAATCCCAGATGTATGTGTGTGTCATGAGATGAGTGTTCCCCATTTCCTAGAGTCACAGTGCCTTAAAGACTGGAAAAACAGAACCAGAACTGGAAACATGGCCCCCACCACACTTGTGTAAGGGCACTCACGTGCTCTGTTTTACTTGTGGAGACTGTTGGTAGGAATGAGGATTTCTGGGTTTGGGGATGGTTGGGTGCCTGTCTCACAGCTGCAGCACGGCTACAGGAAGTGGATGTCAGTACTGGCCAACTGAGGACTGAGCTCTCCTTTTACTTTCTTGCCTGTTAGTTCACTGACTGTGGGATTGCCAATCGCAGGTAGTCACTGAGTACTTACTGCAAGTTATTATTCCCCATAAGTAGCTACATCTATAGAATCTTGGCCCGTTTATGTCATGGGTGAGTTTTGCTCAGAGTGCAAAACAGAACTCAGTGATTTATTCTTATTTTCTACTGGGGGGATGCCATACTTTACGTTAGCTTAGATTACAGTATCAAGTTACAGTTTGTTTTTTTTAAGCACTTTTACTTGAGAGAGAGAGATTGTGTGTGTGTGTGTGTGTGTGTGTGTGTGTGTTTATAGAGGTGATACATAGGTTTATTAAAAAATGGAGATATAGTCAATGATTTTATAGAGCACGTATGGTATTTTTTAGGACACCATCACTATTTCTTCAGTGTTTAACTTCCGTTACTATTGGTGTAATGGTATACCAAAAAAAAAAAAACAACTAAACCCATTGCCATCCAGTCCAACTCATAGCAACCCTGTAGGATGGAGTAGAACTGCCCCATGGGGTTTCCAAGGAGCAGCTGGTGTATTTGAACTGCAGACCTTTTGGTTAGCAGCCAGGCTCTTAACCACTGCACCACCAGGGCCTCAGTGGTATACCAGCCACTTTTTATGCCTCCGAACCTCGTAGGTAGACCTTATTCCGGTTCTAATGCATTTAGTGTCAAGGTGGATCCCTTTTGAAATGCGTGAAGCTCAGCAGACCTGAGTTGGAGCCTCGTTGTGTAGGCTGAGCATTCTATTAGGTTATGCTTCCTGGATGTGTTAGTTTTGTAAACTTTTGCCTTTATTTCCTTTATTTCTGTGAGATAAGGGTTGCAAGCATGATTGTGGCTTTCCTATGTAATACTTCGGGGGCCCTAGTGGGTTTATTTTGGTTTTTTTTTTTTTGTCATTTGGAAAACCAGAGGTTCCCCATGTAACCTAATGGAAGGGTGCTCGCAGTAAACTGTGTACTTAGTTCTTATTGGTATATTGTCATACTGCAGATCTGTGGTGCCTCAGTGCCACTTGCCTTGTTAGTGGCTTGTATTACCAGATCATATATCTCAAAATCCATAACTGCTGTAAAAAATACCAAATTGGTGTTTGAATAGCATGCCATAATTTGTGAAAACACATAGCATCAAAAACTTTTTTTAAATAAAAATTTAATAACACAAGGATTAATCAGTCATGCTCTTTGGCTTTGATAAAGCTTTCAAATTTGAGAATAGAGCTTGTCAGGTGTCGTTTTGAATGGCAAAAAAATGGTTGACTTGAGGCGAGAAGAACATAGTTTAAAAAAGAAAATAAATCTAGCATTTGCTTAATAATTTGCCCTTTTCGGCAATAGAATCTTATCTGACCATCCACATTCATCTGGTTGCTGACGTGGTTCTTGCTTCAATTGCAGAAGCTATTTTTGCACCTTTTATGTCTTTTGAGGAACCGAGTGGGCCTACTTACTTATAATGATTCATGGCTCAAAGTGCACAGGGTGTCCTCAAATGCTACTGCAGTGATGTGCAGAAAAGAAGGGGAGAATTAAAGCAAACTACTTCTTTTAAGCATTTTCAATGCTTACATGAAGTGATTCTGGAGAAAGGCATATTTTAACTGTCATGTCTCCTATGCTTTTAGTCCTTTCCTTGAACGTTTTGGTAAATAAATTGTCTGGAAGAACGAGCAATGTTTTTATTTTTTAAATGACAAATATGCAATAACCATCTATGGGCAGTGTAGTAATATGGTCATTTTTTACAGACCTTTTATACTGGAAGATAAACCATTTTAAGATGGTTGGTTGATTAATCTATTTAATCTAAGCAGTTTGACTGCTCTTCCGTGCGTTTCTTTACATCAGACTAATTCTAATTACGAGAAGGTCTTTTTCTTTATTACTTCCTAGAGTTTGTGAAGTCTCAGTATTTTACTTTGGCTGATTTTGGTTTTCAATTTCAAAAATTACTTCTAGCACAGAACGTAGCATTACTGAAATAAATTAACTATAGAAAAGGACTTGTTAAGAGGTTATCTGAGAGTTCATCCAGTGGCCTTTAGTTGCTGATGCACGGAAAGAAGTTTTGTAGGATCTCAGCTGTAAGAAAAAACTGTTACCATGGACACCAGTGGCATAGTTTCTACTTCCAATACATTAAGTGTTAACTCTAGCCTTATTTTCATAATTCCCTCCACCTAAGCTGTTATAGGCAATTCCCAGCTAATACAAGTATTTACTCAAAAGATTTGAACTTATGTTTTAAAAAAGGAAAATTTTTTCTTGGATAAAAAAAAAAAAGGCTTTTGGAGAGCTCCGGTTCCAAATTTTCTTCCCTAAGGGAACTCAGTTTTTGTGGGTGAATAATAAGCATGACTATTAAATTCATTATGAGTGTCATCATCTTGTAAACTTTCTTGTTCATTTTTAGATTCCCAGAAGTTGTGCATGCGTTCCTGTGGGGAGAATTGGCATCTTGGAAAGCAAAGACGGTTGTGATGCAGATTTTTGATATGAGGATAAAAGGTTAATAACTAAAACTTAATCTTTTACTCTACTGTTTTCACATTTAAATTGAAATATAGTTTTTGCCTACCATGCACCCATATGCAAAATTGATTTTGTCATCAAATCATCAAAAACAATGTATATTCCATTTAGAGAGGAAAGTGTTCTGAAGGTTTTGTTTTATTTTGTTTTACATAATAGACTGATGTTAATTATAATCTCCTTCATTGATATACTCTCACTCAATTCTTTGTGACTACGTTTATTTTAATGGGAAATTCCACTCAATAAATCCTAATAACTTTTGCCATGTATTGGGAAAACATTAGAAAAGTGAAATCACAGTGATGATTGTAAAAAAAATTGTGGAAAAATATTAAAAGTGGCATGTGTACTCAAAATGTTCTGACTAAATATGCAAACTATACGAATATTTGCAATGATGTCCTCGTTGTTGTTGTTATAAGGTGCCGTTGAATCGGTTCTCACTCATAACAACCCTATGTACGATAGAATGAACACTGCCCAGTCCTGCACCATTCTCACAGTCTTGCTATGTTGAACCCATTATTGCAACCACTTTGTCAATGCATCTCCTTGAAGCTCTTCCTCTTTTTCGCTGACCATCTGCTTTACCAAGCATGATGTCCTTCTCTAGGGACTGGTCCCTCTTGATAACACGTCCAGAGTACTTAGGATAAAGTCTCCACATCCTCCCTTCCAAGGAGCATTCTGGCTATATTTTTTCCAAGACAGATTTCTTCATTCATCTGGCAGCCCATTGTATAGTCAGTATTCTTTGCCAGTACCGTAATTCACATGCATCAATTCTTCTTCAGTCTTTCTTACTCATTGTCCAGCTTTCACATGCATTTGAGATGATTGAAAATACCATGGCTTGGGTCAGGTGCACCTTAGTTCTCAAAGTGACATCTTTGGTTTTTAACACTTCAAAGAAGTCTTTTGCAGCAGATTTGTCCAGTGCAATACATCATTTGATTTCTTGACTGTTGCTTTCATGGGCACTGATTGTGTATCCAAGTAAAATGAAATCCTTGACAACTTCAGTCTTCTCACCGTTTATCATGATGTTGCTTCTTGGTCCAGTTATGAGGATTTTTGTTTTCTCTATGTTGAGGTGTAATCCATACTGAAGGCTGTAGTCTTTGATCTTCATCAGTAAGTGCTTCAAGTCCTCTTTGCTTTCATCAAGCAAGGTTGTATCTGCATATCGCAGATTTTAATGAGTGTCCCTTTAATCCTGATGCTGTATTCTTCTTCATATAGTCCAGCTTCTCTGGTTATTTGCTCTTCATACAGATTGAATATGTATGATGAAAGGATACGACACTGACACACACCTTTCCTAACTTTAAACCACGCAGTATCTCCTTGTTCTGTTCGAACAACTGCCTCTTGGTCTATGTACAGGTTCCTCATGAGCACATTTAAGTTTTCTGGAATTCCCATTCTTCTCAATATTATCTATAATTTGTTATGATCCACAGAGTCAAATACCTTTGCATAGTCAGTAAAACACAGGTAAACATTTTTCTGGTATTCTCTGCTTTCAGCCAAGATCCATCTGACATCAGCAGTGATATCCCTTGTTCCACATCCTCTTCTGAATCCAGCTTGAATTTCCAGCAGTTCCCTGTCAATGTAGTGCTGCAACTGTTTTTGAATTATCTTCAAGAAGACTTTACTTGCATGTGATATTAATGATATTGTTTGATAATTTCCACATTCTGTTGGATCACCTGTTTTTGGAATGGCACAAATAGATTCTCTTTCAGTCAGTTGGCCAGGTAGCCGCCTTCCAAATTTCTTAGCATGGACACGTGAGGGGATCCAGCCTGGCATCTGTTTGTTGAAACATTTCAATTGGTATTCTGTCCATTCCTGAAGCCTTGTTTTTTTCCAGTGCCTTCAGTGCAGCTTGGGATTCTTCCTTCAGTACCATTGATTCTTGATCATATGCTGCCTCCTGAAATGGTTGAACGTTGACCAGTTCTTTTTGGTACAGTGCCTCTGTGTATTCCTTCTACCTTCTTTTGATGCTTTCTGTGTCATTCAAGATTTGCCTATAGAATCCTTCAGTATTGCCACTCAAGGCTTGAATTTTTTCTGCAGTTCTTTCAGCTTGAGAAATGCCGAGCATGTTCTTCTCTTTTGGTTTTCTAATTCCAGGTCTTTGCACATTTCATCATAATGTTTTACTTTGTCTTTTGGAGCCACCCTTTGAAATCTTCCGTTCAGCTCTTTTACTTCATCATTTCTTCCTTTAGCTTTAGCTACTCCACGTTCAAGAGCAAGTTTAAACTCTCTTCTGACATCCATTTTGGTCTTTTCTTTCTTTCCTGTCTTTTTATTGACCTCTTGCTTTCTTCATGTATGCTGTCCTTGATATCGTCCCACAACTCATCTGGTTTTTGGTCGTTAGTGTTCAATGTGTCAAATATATTCTTGAGATGGTCTTTAAATTCAGGTGAGATATACTCAAGGTCATACTTTGGCTCTCATGGACTTGTTTTAATTTTCTTTACCTTCAACTTGAACTTGCATATGAGCAATTGATGGTCTGTTCCACAGTCGGCCCCGTGCCTTGTTCTGACTGATGATACTGAGCTTCCATAGACTCTTTCCACAGATGTAGTTGATTTGATTCCTGTGTATTCCATATGTTGAGGTCCACATGTATAGTCACCGTTTATGTGGTTGAAAAAAGCTCTTTGCAATGAATAAGTTGTTGGTCTTGCAAAGTTCTATCATGCGATCTCTAGCGTTGTTTCTATCACCAAGGCCATAATTTCCAACTACCAGTCCTTCTTTGTTTCCAACTTTTGCATTCCAATCACCAGTAAATATCAATGCATCTTGATTACATGTTTGATCAATTTCAGACTGCAGAAGTTGATAAAAAACATTAGTTTCTTCATCTTTGGCCTTAGTGGTCAGTGCATAAATTTGAATAATAGTCGTATTAACAGGTCTTCCTTGTTGTTGTCGTTAGGTGCCATTGAGTCAGTTCCAACTCATAGGTACCCTACGTACAACAGAGTGAAGCACTGCCCAGTCTTGTGCCATCCTCACAATCATTGCTATGTTTGAACCCGTTGCTGCAGCCACTGTTCCAATCCGTCTCGTTGAAGGTCTTCCTTGTTTTTGTTGACCCTCTACTTTACCACGCACATGTGGATATTACCCTATCACTGACAGTGTTGCATTTCAGGGTAGATCTTGAAATGTTCTTTTTGACAGTGAATGCCATGCCATTCCTCTTCAATTTGTCATTCCCGGCATAGTAGACCATATGATTGTCAGATTCAAAATAGCCAATAGCAGTCCATTTCGGCTCACTAATGTCTATATATCTTCAAGTGTTCCATCTCATTTTTGACTACTTCCAATTTTCCTAGATTCCTACTCCCTACATTCCACCTTCTAATTATTAATGGATGTTTGTCAGCAAACAAAGGTCCCGAAACCTTGACTCCATCCATGTCATTAAGGTCAACTCTACTTTGAGGAGGCAGCTCTTCCCCAGTCACATTTTGAGTACATTCCAACCTGAGGGGTTCATCTTCCAGCACTATATCAGACAGTGTTCCAATGCTATTCATAAATTTTTCAGTGACCAACTTTTTTTTTAGAAGTAGATGGCCAGGTCCTTCTTCCTAGTCTGTGTTAGTCTGGAAGCTGCACTGAAACCTGTCCACCATGGTGACCCTGCTGGTTTTTGTAATACTGGTGATATAACTTCCAGCATCACAGCAACACACAAGCCACTACAGTATGACAAACTAATAGACCAGTAGTTGGCCCTGATTTTAGCCAGACAGAGAAATATGGTTCAGTTTTCCATTAGGTTTTAAGTATCCAATTCTGTTTTAAGGTAGGTCAAATTAGAGTGTGATCATACCGATATTTTTACTTTTCTTCAAAAGTTCTCTAAATTGCTTGTCAGGTTTTTTTTTTTTTCAACCTACAGTGTTCTCCTCAAATTGTCGGCTTGCTCATTTTTGGGAGAACCCAGGTGGTTATGGGTCTTTTTACCAATAAAAAGAGGCATTTATAATGAATTTGGCTCTCAGGAAGGTACCTTTTTTTGATCATCCCGTGGAAATAAGTCTGTATTCAGTTGGACTCTGGCACTGATTACGCTTTTTTGGTAGATCTTTTTTTCCTCATCCAGTACTCATATGCACACTCTGAGCAATGGGGGAGGGGCGATCTGGTGGGGGGTCAGTGAGTGGCAGTAAGTGGTGAGCAATCAGTGTTAAAGCAATGGTTTCCTGAGATGCTCCTCTATTTCCTAAAATAATTTGTAATTGATTTGTTGTTGTGTGCCATTGAATTGATTCTAACTTATAGCAATCCTATATGGTTAAGCATTGTACTGCTAACCGAAAGGTCAGTAGTTCAAATCCAGCAGCGGCTCCACCGTAGAAAACACCTGGTGATCTGCTCCTATAAACACTACAGCCTAGGAAACCCCATGGGGCAGTTCTCCTCTGTCTTAAATGGTCACTATGAGTATGAATAGTGGATTTAGAGCATTTTAAAAAGAAATACATGGAAATTGCCTCTAAAATTTTGTTTAGTTATTACTAACTTAAGATACATATTTTGTTTATGAATGTAATAGTATCAAATTCTCTTAAAACCCCCCCAAATCATTTTATTTTTTAAACTGTTTTATTATTAAAATTTTGAAATAGGAGGTGTTTGTTGCTCTCATTTAATACCATTATTATTTAGGATGTTATTATTTAATGCTCACTTGACTTTTGCTACCACTCAAGTAATGATTAATTTCCTGAGGTAAAGTTTTTTCTAAGGTAGTGTTTTTCTAAGTGAAAGATCCCAGATTGACAACCCTGGATACTGTAGCCTTTTATTCATCTGCAGAGCAAGCTTGCTTTCCTGCCAATCCCACCCAGCTGCTATCCTGAAGAGACCTCTGTCGAGGACTCTACAGGAGGCTGTTTCTGGGCCTTTCCTTTTGGGGCCTGTCTGAGGAAATTATTTAACCGAGTGCCAAATTTGTTTGAGTGGGACTATGAAGAGCGGCCTAGGAGAGGCATACTTGTAGGGAAATGTCAACTCTTCCATGAAGTATCTTTTTTCTTTTCTTTTGCTACAGTTCCTTTTTAGTTCTATTACCCCTGAAGTAGCCACACAGAATGTAGTATCTTTTTCGGCTCTACCCCTCTTCTGAAAAATGTGAAGGGCCTGCTAGACATTGCTTGTCTTTACTGCCTAGAGGACTTCGATGGGCTGTAGCACCATCCACAGGAAGCTCAAAAGCCATGTCCTCTGGATTAGGGGAAAATTTAAATGTGAGTGAAACTGTGTTTGGAATGCTACTCCTTTGTTGGCAATTGGTGCCCAAAATGACTCTGCGTGGGTTTGGTTACCATAAAAAGAAATCTCAGTTATTAAAATGATAGCTAGCTGTTTTCTTTTTATAAGAGAATTGTTCTTATATTGCATTTTTAACATATCAATTGATTGAGAACACAGTGGAATTTATTTTTAACATATAATTAGACAATATGAAAAATGAGTTGTATCCACATGATCGTAGGGAAGTAATATAGCAATAGTTAACCACATTAGTATGGATCTTTATAGATCTAAGTAGATCTATATTGAGAAAATTAATCTGAAATTGAAGGTATATACATTTATTTGTTGGTTTATAGTAAAATTATGGGGTTCAAAGAAAGTATTTTCTAGACTCAGTTATCCATTTAGTGTAGATTTCCTTCTGTAATAGACTTATAAAATGTTTTACCATCTATACACATTTTCATACATTTAAGTAATAAAACTAAGTGGTGCAAATAGTTTGTGCCCACCACTAACCTAAAGGTTGGAAGTTCAAACCCACCCTTTGGCACTGCAGAAGAAAGACCTGGTAATCTACTTCTGTAAATATTACATCCAAGAAAACCCTATGGAGCAGTTCTACTTTGTAACACATGCGGGTCATCATGAGTCGAAATTGACTCAGTGGCATTGGGTTTGGTTTTTGATTTTTAAGTAATAAACATAAGCTCGATAACATGTGCCATTGTTGGAAAAGCTAAGTGAGTAAAAGTGTCACCTAGCAAAAAAAGAAAAATGTCATTCTCAAACCTGGATTAAGTTTTGAAAGCCTTAGGATTTTTCAAATAAACTGCTTTTCATAAGTATAAATTGAAGAGAGCTGCAAGGAAGCTTTTGAACACTCCCAAACCCTGTTTGGTTTTAAAGAGAAAGACAAGCCATGCACAGTAATAGATACATGATGCACACAGTTTACACTACAGAATCTTTTCAGTTTGCAGGATGAAGCATCAGTAGACAAATGAGAAGAGTCCATACTTCTAATGGTTCATGAATATGATTAGTAAATTCCCAAAAGGACCCATCACTCATTTTCTCTGTCCTCTCCCTTTGTATGTCTTGGAAACTCCAAGAAGAAAAGTGATTTTATGGGTAGCAGTAAGTTGAAAGCTCCCCAAGAATAGTTTTGAAGTGAATAATGTATCTTCAAATATGTTTAAAATCTGATGTAAAATGTTCATATGACATAGGAATGATTCCCAGTTTCCTAGTAATAGTCTTAAGGCTTTTACTGATGTGAAAGTTAGACATTACAGTTCAGAGAATGTGGCGTAGTGAAATCCCTGGGCTGGTGGAACCTCCAGCCCACACACAAAGCAGAAGCTCCTCCTGAAGGACCCAGGAGTAGCAAGCATGGTGTGGGGCATCACCTAGCTTCATGATAAAACAGTAGGACATCTTAGCTAGGCTTGTCTTAGAAATACAATGGCAAGACATTTTCCTGTCAGAAGCTGTTTGTGTAATTGAGTTAATGTGTGTGTGTGTGTGTGTGTGTGTGTGTGTGTTTCTTCAACTGGGATCAAAGTTTTGAATTTTACAATCTTCTGGATAATAAGTATGATTGGAATATAGGATGATTCTGTGTTAACCTTAGCAAAACTGATTTTTTTTTTTTTAACAAAATAGTTGTTGTTGGATGCTGTTGAGTTGGTTCTGACTCATAGTGATTGATGTGACAGAGTAGAACTGCCCCATAGGGTTTTCTTAGCTGTAATCTTTAAGCAAGAGGGTCACCAAATCTTTTCTCCTGCAGAGCCTCTGTGTGGATTCGAACTGCCAACCTTTTGATTAGCAGCCAAGCACTTAACCATTGTGCCACCAGGGCTCCTTAATAAAATAGTACATATGACATTTTTTTTTTTTTTCTGATTAACTCCTTTCTGAAAGTCAAACCCAACAACAATTAACTGGATGTTATAGGTAATTTTTGTCCTATTATATATCTGCTTAAGAATTTTATGTAAATCATTTTTCTCCACCTTCTGGTCAATTCTCTAATAAACCCATTGCCATTGAGTCGATTCTGATCCATAGTGACCCTATAGGACAGAGCAGAATTGCCCCATAGGGTTTCCAAGGAGTGGCTGATGGATTCGAACTGCTGACTTTTTGATTAGCAGCCGAGCTAATTACTTAACCACTGTGCCACCAGGGCTCAATAGCAAAATATATTGCCTTTTATTTGAATTTTTATTGGGTGTATCTATTTTATGATATGTCCTTAGTGAATCAGAATTGTGTATGTTTAATTTAGGATGTAATGCCTTTTAATTTATTATTGTAAATCATAAACATTGTATCTTCCTGATTTATAAGGTATTACGGCATTGCTAACTGAAAACATTACATTCTACTTAATAATTTATTAAATCTATTTTTCCAGTCCTGTTTTTCATGACATTTTATGTACTTATTTAACTTGAAATTCATGATTTAAACGAAATTATATCTTCTGTGTAAAGCAGTGGATGAGAAGTGACCATATGCCTAGTTTTCACTTGTAAGGTCCTTATTTTCCACTACCTTAAAAGTAATGCTGTTTGAAGAACAGAGGAAATCAATTGTTTATCATGGGAATTTATTGTATTCATTGAAGACACAAGGAGCTGTCTTCATTAATACTTAATATGCAGATTTTCGACATTATTTAAGCTATAGATTTGTTTGATGGTATTTTAGGGCCATTTTCTATACTACAACCATGCAAAGCTCATATATGTTCTCCCAGGACCATTAAAAATTCAGGCCTTTCAAATAATGGAGTTAAGTGAAAATGTTTATAGAAAAACATTATTGAAGATATATTAAGTTGTGATAAATTGGGGGTGGGGTGAAGACCGTTACCTGGGCTTGGAGGCCTGGCAGACTTGGATTTGAATTCTGGCTCTGCCACTCAACCTCCCTAAACATAATCCTCAACTGTAAAATAGATATAATAATACGTATTACATAGGTTAAGAAGCCCTGGTGGTGCAGTGGTTAAAGCGCTCAGCTGCTAACTGAAAGATCAGCAGTTTGAACCTACCAGCTGCTCCAAGGGAGAAAGACGTGGCAGTCTGCTTCCGTAAAGATTTATAGCCTTAGAAACCCTATGAGGCAGTTCTACTCTGTCTTATAGGGTTGCTATGAGTCTGAATCAACTCAATGACAGTGGATTTGGTTTTTGGTTTATTGCATAGGCTGTTATGAAAATCAAATAATATGATGTATATGAAGCTTTATAATAGTATTTGGCACATAGTAAATTCTCAGTAAATGGCAGCTATTATTATTTTTATTAGCGGTGGAGCTACATAAATCAATACCATGATAAAATATTATCTCTGAAAAGTAACAAATTATGCAATCCAATCCCTGAATCCTAATTAAAGAAAGACTCTCATGTGTTTCTGTCTTGAATTGGAAATATATATTATACTTCCATTTTAAAGGATGATACAATTATTGTACTACTAACCAAAAGGTTGGCAGTTTGAGCCCCCAGCGGCACCTCTGAAGAAAGGCCGGGTGATCTGCTTCTGAAAGGTCACAGCCATGAAAACCCAATATAGTTCTACTCTGACATACATGGGGTCACCATAAGTCAGAATCGATGTGATGGCAACTGTTTTTTTTTTTAAGGTGGGGAGGGGATGATATTCAGCTATAAAAATTGGACAGAGGTTGTATCTCCATGAACTTTGAATATTTAATTAAACAAAAAATAAAGCCAATTGAAGTTTGACATTGTATATTCTGGTTGACCTGGTTGCTGGAATCGACAGAGGTAACCCTGCATGGAAGAACTGTGAGGTCAACTCTTCACTTGCCGTTTGTGCCTCATTTTCTGTAGAAGATGCTTAGGAAAATTACTGTGGGGGGAAAAAGTAGAACGGAATATTAAAACATTCTATCAAACTCAAGTTAGTATGCTTGTTGTTTAGTTTTTCTGACAACTGCTTTATCAATCTATTATGCTTCAATGGCTATTGCCAGAGGGAACTTTTGATTATAGAGATCTTGCAACAGAAATCTAGGGACTACTGATTTCTCATCCAAAAGACTGTTTCTGTGGGAATTTCTGTGGTCTTTCCCCTTTCTAAATGCAACTGCTATTATCATCAGCATCATCACAATAGAGTTCTATATTAGGGAGCAAATGGGACATGGAAGTAAGATTCTAACTAGTACTTGACTTTTGATTTGGCAGTCTGCAATATAGTTGCATGGTAGCATCTTTTTACTAACCAATATTTAATTACAACAGTATGCATGCTTATGTTAAAAATAAACAAACAAAAAAACTTTGTAAAGTAGAAACTTTATAATGAATTTATAATTGAGATTTATATCTAGCAATGCTGTGGCTTAATGAACAATTTCTTCTAACTGCGTTTATTTTGTTGCCAGGAAGCGTCAGGACAATCATGCCCATAAGAACTCTAAATCGTTCAGGTAATCATTTTGTTTTTAAACTGTCCTTTTAGATATGTTTTGTTTCCTATATTATGGAGGTTTCAGAGTTGTTTTGTTTATATGCATTCTTCTACCTTTTCCAAAATTTTATGATAATATTTGATTCTATAGTCTTGGTCTAGCTACACTATCCACTGCTTTTAAGCTATAAAATATAGTACACTTCACCATGAAAGTCATAAAACTCGGTTAGAAATAGTCCTAAATGTGTTTTAATGAAGGTTTTAAAATTTTTATGATTTTATAAATGATTTTTAGAAAAAGTTTTCTTTCAAATAATTTTCTAACCAAAATTAAGCGGTATTTAAACGAAACACGGAAGAGATTTATGCTTATGATTTAATGCTAGGTTTGAAATTAATATCCTTTAGTAGTGTAACTAGGAGCCCTGATGGTTAAGTCACTTGGCTGTTTCTCGAGAGTTCTGTGATTCAAACCGGCCAGCCACTTTACAGGAGCAGATTGACAGGGAGAAAAGACCCAGAAATCTGCTCCTATAAGGATTTCAACCTAGGAAACCGTATGGAGCAGTTATACTCTGTCCTATAGAGTCCTTATGAGTTGAAATCAACTCCGTGTCACACAATGACAGCACAGTAGCATAACTAATGTAATAGCTATAAAAAGAATTCCATGAAGTAAAAAACATTTTCAGTTTATCCAATTTATGGCTGGTTACTTAAGATGGGTTTTGAATTCTTGTTTGATAACTTTTATGACAGTCTCTGTGTGTTTTCTTTTTCTTTAGGTCATGGCATCTTAGTGAAACTGGTGATCAAACTTTGCTCTAGTTGATGGGCAAAATTTCTCCTAGACTATTCATCATCCCAATTTCATCCTAGTCAAAAATATTCAAATGCCGTAAGAAATCTTCTTAGATTTGCACTTAGCTTTCGGATGGACATTTCTATAATGGAGAGAACTATGTTATAGCCCTGGTCCAAGGACATTTCATCTAATGCTCATAGACTGCGGTGTGGGTGTGGAAGGTTCCAAAGAGAAAGAACAGTCAAGTTTGCAGACACCCTGGAACATGGAAGCAACCAAGCTTTAATAAAGCACAGCTTTGGATACACTCCATGAGTCTGCACGGCTTTCACGTGAACTAGCACTTAAGACCTTGTGTAACAAAATGGACACTGGGGACACAGCTATAGGACAAAAAGCTACCTCAAGGTCTGGAGAAACTGATAAAGCGTCAGGTAGATGGAGACAGGAGCAATCAGCTGTTATTAAGATGAGCACTTTTGGCAGTCAAGAAGGACAGCGGCAACCACGAATAGATCCTGAGCAAATCGGAAACACAGCATCAGCACAACTCTTTGGTTCTGGGAAACTGGCACCACCTAGTGAAGTGGCCCAGCAAGTCCCGGAGAAGCAATACCCACCGCACTGTCCGAGTCCTTATTCATGCCAACACTCACTCTCTTTTCCTCAGCACTCATTGCCACAGGGGGTCATGCACAGCAACAAGTCCCATCAGAGCCTAGAAGGCCCTCCGTGGCTTTTTCCTGGCCATTTGCAATCTGTTGCCTCTGAGGACTTACTTCCTTTTCCTATACATGGCCACAGTGGTGGTTATCCTAGAAAAAAGATTTCAAGTCTGAATCCTGTGTATAGCCAATACTCCCAGAAAAGTATCGACCAGTCTGAAGATGCTCACAAGAAAGAGCACAAACCCAAAAAGCCCGGCAAGTACATTTGCCCTTACTGCAGCAGGGCATGTGCCAAACCAAGTGTACTGAAAAAGCATATCAGGTCCCATACTGGGGAGCGGCCATATCCATGTATACCTTGTGGTTTCTCTTTCAAGACAAAAAGCAATTTGTACAAGCACAGGAAGTCCCATGCCCATGCAATTAAGGCTGGGTTAGTACCTTTCACAGAGTCAGCTGTATCTAAATTGGACCTAGAGGCTGGTTTTATTGACGTAGAAGCAGAAATACATTCAGATGGTGAACAGAGTACAGACACAGATGAGGAAAGTTCATTATTTGCTGAGGCTTCTGACAAAATGAGCCCCGGCCCTCCAATCCCGTTGGATATTGCTGGCAGAGGCAGCTATCATGGGTCATTGGAAGAGTCACTGGGAGGTCCGATGAAGGTTCCCATTCTGATTATCCCCAAAAGTGGGATTCCATTGCCTAGTGAAAGCTCTCAGTATATTGGCTCTGATATGTTAGCAAATCCGTCTTTAAATGCTAAAGCTGATGACTCTCATACAGTTAAACAGAAACTTGCACTAAGACTGTCAGAGAAAAAAGGACAAGACTCTGAGCCATCTCTAAATCTCCTGAGCCCGCACAGTAAAGGAAGCACTGATTCTGGTTACTTTTCTCGCTCAGAAAGTGCAGAGCAGCAAATAAGCCCTCCAAACACAAATGCAAAGTCTTATGAAGAAATCATCTTTGGAAAATACGGTCGGATTAGTCCAAGAAATGCACTCAGTGTTACGACCACAAGTCAGGAGCGCACCACAATGGGTAGGAAGAGCATAATGGAATCATTACCTCATGTAAACACCAGGTTAGATGTCAAGATGTTTGAAGATCCTGTATCACAGCTGATCCCAGGCAAAGGAGACATTGACCCCAGTCAAACAGGCATGCTGAAATCCTCTAAATTCAATAGTGAGTCCAGACAATCCCAGCCGATTGTATCATCTATCAGGAATGAAGGAAAACTTTATTCAGCAAATTTCCAAGGCAGCAACCCAATCCTCTTAGAAGCTCCTGTAGATTCTTTACCCCTTATTAGAAGCAACTCAATGCCAACTTCTTCAGCAACTAATTTAAGTATCCCCTCTTCTTTGAGAGGAAGTCACTCATTTGATGAAAGGATGACTGGTTCAGATGATGTGTTCTATCCAGGGACAGTAGGAATACCCCCTCAGCGCATGTTAAGAAGACAAGCAGCATTTGAGTTGCCTTCAGTACAGGAGGGGCATGTAGAGGTAGAGCATCATGGCAGGATGTCAAAAGGTACCACAGGTTCATCCCTGAAGGAAAAGAAATTGATTCCTGGGGATAGGGTTGGGTATGACTATGATGTATGTCGGAAACCCTATAAGAAGTGGGAAGACTCTGAACCACCAAAGCCAAGCCACAGGGATATTTCTTTCTTAAGTTCTTTAAAACATGGTGGAGAGTATTTTATGGATCCCTTGGTGCCATTGCAGGGAGTGCCAACCATGTTTGGAACTACATGTGAAAATAGAAAACGCCGGAAAGAGAAGAGTGTAGGAGATGAGGAAGACACCCCCATGATTTGCAGCAGCGTAGTAAGCACTCCCATGAGCATAATGACTCCAGATTATGACCCCAAATTGCAGATGCAGGAAGGAGTAAGGAGTGGATTTGCCATGGTTGGACATGAGAACCCTGCTCATGGTCACTCTGAGCGCTTTGACCCATGTCGACCCCAACTGCAATCCGGAAGTCCATCTCTTGGGTCAGAGGAGTTGCCCTCCGCCACCGATTCAGACAAGATGTCAGACCTAGGTGGCAGGAAGCCTCCTGGGAATGTGATTTCCGTGATTCAGCACACAAACTCGCTGAGTCGACCCAATTCATTTGAAAGGTCTGAGTCTGCCGAACTCGTGGCTTGTGCACAGGATAAAGCCTCTTCACCTTCTGAGACTTGTGACAGTGAGATTTCAGAAGCCCCAGTGAGTCCAGAGTGGGCTGCACAGGGGGACAGTGCAGAAAGTGGGGGGAAACCGTCCCCTTCTCAGCAGGTACAGCAGCAGTCCTATCACACACAGCCCAGGTTGGTTCGCCAGCACAACATTCAAGTCCCTGAGATCCGTGTGACAGAAGAACCTGATAAACCAGAGAAGGAGAAAGAAGCACAGAGTAAGGAACCAGAAAAACCTGTGGAGGAATTTCAGTGGCCCCAGAGAAGTGAGACCCTTTCCCAGCTCCCAGCTGAGAAGTTGCCACCTAAAAAGAAGCGTTTGCGACTTGCAGATATGGAGCACTCTTCTGGGGAGTCCAGCTTTGAGTCTACAGGAACCGGCCTCTCTCGCAGCCCCAGTCAAGAAAGCAACTTATCCCACAGCTCCAGTTTTTCAATGTCTTTTGAAAGAGAAGAAACCATTAAGCTTGCTGCACCTCCAAGGCAGGATGAGTTTGGGAAGCATTCCGAGTTTCTGACCGTCCCTGCTGGCTCATACTCATTGTCTGTCCCTGGTCATCACCACCAGAAAGAGATGCGACGCTGCTCGTCTGAGCAGATGCCTTGTCCTCACCCAACAGAAGTCCCTGAAATTCGGAGCAAGTCATTTGATTATGGAAACCTGTCTCATGCTCCCATGGCAGGAGCGCCGGCCTCAACATTATCACCGTCACGAGAGAGGAAGAAATGCTTCTTGGTTCGGCAGGCTTCCTTCAGTGGTTCCCCAGAGATTGCCCAAGGTGATGCTGGTATAGATCAGAGTGTGAAGCAGGAGCAGATGGAGCACCTGCACGCAGGCCTCAGGTCCACGTGGCACCACGGCCCGTCTGCTGTGCTTCCTCCCCTGCAAGCCGAAGACCCTGCGAAGCAGGTTGTGGGTCCTTGTGCTCAGCTGAGTACAGGGTCCCTCCACCTGGCCCAGCAACAGATCATGCACATGGACAGTCAGGAATCTTTGAGAAACCCCTTGATACAACCCACGTCTTATACTGCCAGCAAGCACTTATCTGAACAGCCACATTTATTTCCCCATCAAGAGACGATTCCATTTTCTCCAATTCAGAATGCCTTGTTTCAGTTTCAGTATCCTACTGTCTGTATGGTTCACCTGCCAGCTCAGCAGCCTCCCTGGTGGCAGGCCCATTTCCCACCTCCCTTTGCTCCACACCCTCAGAAGAGCTATGGCAAACCTTCTTTCCAGTCAGAAATTCATCCTAGCTACCCCTTAGAGCACGTTTTAGAGCACAGTGGGAAGAAATCTGCAGATTACGCACATGCAAAAGATCAAACGTACCCATGTTATTCAGGAACATCAGGGCTACACTCAAAGAGTCTTCTTCCAAAGTTCCCCTCAGACCAGAGCACTAAGTCAATGGATACTCCTTCTGAGCAGCTTTTTCAAGAAGATTTTGCCTCGGCAAATGCTGGGCCTTTACAGTCCTTACCAGGAGCAGTGGTTCCTGTTAGGATCCAGACCCATGTACCGTCTTACGGGAGTGTCATGTACACAAGCATTTCTCAGATTCTTGGGCAGAACAGCCCTGCGATTGTCATATGCAAAGTTGACGAGAATATGACACAAAGAACACTGGTAACCAATGCAGCCATGCAAGGGATAGGGTTTAACATCGCCCAGGTGTTAGGGCAGCATGCAGGCTTGGAAAAATACCCCATTTGGAAAGTACCTCAGACCTTACCCCTTGGCTTAGAATCCTCAATCCCATTATGTTTACCTTCCACCTCTGACAGTGTCGCCACCCTTGGAGGTAGCAAGCGCATGCTTTCTCCAGCCAGCAGCTTAGAACTTTTCATGGAAACAAAGCAGCAGAAAAGGGTGAAAGAGGAAAAGATGTATGGACAGATTGTTGAGGAGCTCAGTGCTGTGGAGCTAACCAACTCCGACATCAAAAAGGATCTCTCCCGTCCACAGAAGCCCCAGTTGGTTCGGCAAGGCTGTGCTTCTGAGCCAAAGGATGGCTCACAGTCAGGGTCATCTTCCTTCTCCTCACTGTCACCCTCCTCATCTCAAGACCACCCGTCTGCCGGCACGCCCTCGAGGGAGCCATTCCCACCCAGCAGGGAGATGCTTTCCAGCTCCCGGGCACCACCTCCGGGTCAGAGGCCCAGTGGGCCTTCTGAAAGCAAAGAGTCATCAGATGAGTTAGACATTGATGAGACAGCATCTGATATGAGCATGAGCCCACAAAGTTCTTCATTGCCACCAGGGGACAGTCAGCCCGAAGGGCAAGGCAAGGGCCAGAAGCTGCCTGTTGGCATGCTGGTCCAGATGGCATCTGGCCCAAGTGGGAAAGTGGCAAACTCAACTCTTCTTTTCACGGATGTGGCAGATTTCCAGCAGATTCTTCAGTTCCCCAGTCTTCGGACAACAACTACTGTGAGTTGGTGCTTCTTGAATTATACAAAACCCAATTATGTGCAACAGGCCACCTTCAAATCCTCGGTGTATGCTTCATGGTGCGTTAGTTCCTGTAACCCAAACCCATCCGGACTGAACACCAAGACCACTCTGGCTCTTCTGAGGTCCAAGCAAAAAATGACCGCAGAAATTTACACTCTGGCTGCTATGCATAGACCTGGAACCGGCAAGCTGACATCATCAAGTGCTTGGAAACAGTTTGCTCAGGTAACAAATACTCTTTCAGAAAGCACTCTGGATGGTGGATTTGATTGCTAAGCAGAATACACAGGGAAGGATGTGAGGTCTAAAACCTACAGGTAAAATTAAGGTCAGAGTTGGGGGAGCCCTCAGTAGCACCATTACACTGGGTGAAAGAGGCCACTGACTGTGCAATTAGTTATGAGGTCCCAGAGAAAGCCCCAAAACTCAGTATCTGCTTCACCCTGAAGCCCAGGAAATTCTGCCACTAGGGTTCTTCTCCTTTCTGACCTGTTTCAGTGACCTAGCAGACGTACTGTGTTTAATGCTAATGAATGAAAAGTATCGTCAAGGAGAATAAATCCTCTTATTTTAAGTTTGCAAAGTTCAGTTCTGGCATCATTCATGTTTCCTTCCTGATCTTTCTTTCCAGCGTCCAACCCCTGGACTACATCCCCATTTCACTCACATTTATTTTCTGTGTGTCTCTTTCAAAACTTATTTTCTCCAAGTTATTTTCTGGCTTGTTCCTACATGAACAACCAATACTTTACATGTAAAATTATAAAAATATTAAGAAGGAACACCTTGGAGTTCATGGTAGGTTATTAATGAAGCAAATGGAGAATTTAAACAAATATATTTGCACTTATTTCAGTTACCATTTTCCCTTCAATAGTTTTTGGGAACACTTTCTTAAATAATATGGATTATTTTAATTGCTACTTCAGGATACAGAACTTACCTTTTATGTTTTTACTCGTGTTTCCAGAGTAAGTGCTAACTGAGTATCTTTTCACTGAAATGTTGAATTCCTTCTACTCTCATTCTCTGATTTTATCCAAAGTGTCCCTTATTTTACATAACCAGAATCGGGCCTTTCAGCATGGAATTATGGCTAATTTTCAGAGATTATAGAAGAGTAGGGAGTGGAGGGTGTGAGCTAGCCTTCCCTTCTTAGGGAAATCGTGTGAAATGATTCTCTCTTTCTCTCCTACAGATGAAACCTGATGCGTCATTTTTATTTGGCAGCAAACTGGAAAGGAAACTAGTGGGAAATATCTTAAAGGAAAGAGGGAAAGGAGATATTCATGGAGAGAAAGATATTGGATCCAAACAGACTGAGCCAATCCGAATTAAAATTTTTGAAGGAGGGTAAGGAAACATTAAGTGCAAATGTAAAATGTTCACGTTAAGTCAAAGTAAATAGCCCCGAATGTCTGCGTGGAAAGAATAGTATCAACTCTGGTTGGAAGCTTACAGGGAATTCCCTTTCTCTGCACATTTCAGAAGTCTGGCTGGTAACACAGATTATGAGTTCATACTCTACAGCAACGGATTTGGTGTTTGGTTTGGTCCTTGCTTTTGTAACATGCTTTTAATGAAAATGTCCCTGTTCTGTATGGTTCAAACCTCTCTCTTAAATTTTCACACTTCTTGTTTAGTATGCAGTCAACTAAATTGGTGAGCGCTTTATGTCCTCTACATTTGTTCATTATTTAATAATATTTTTATGGGCATTTGTGTATTAATGGACATATTTTTATGCTGTGCTTTCAAAAATGAAATCATGTACACTCATGTGTAATCCCAGGAATTAGTTAATTTATTTGTTTGTCTGCTTTTATTATTACCTGGACTCCAGACTTCATTGGGATGTCACCAGTTTTCCCACCAATGTTCTCTTTCTCATCCAGGATCCCTACCAGGGTACCACAGTGCATTTAGCTGTCAAGTCTCCCCAGTCTCCTCTGGTCTTGACAGTTCCTCAGTCTTTAGGAATTTCTTTTTAAATGTTGAGTTCAGATTTCTAGAAACTCAAGTAATAAGTTCAATGACTTTGTTATCGGCATACTTTACGAAAAATTACATATATGTATAATATCTAACAGGTTTAGATTTTGATAGGATTGTATCCTCAATCCAGTCACATGGAAGGAAAAGCCCAGACGTATGCTTTTAAAATTAAAAAAATTTAAAACACATTAACCACATTTTTGGGATTATGATATAACTAGCCTTATCTCTACAACAGATCCATAATTTACACATTTTCTTGAGCATGAATTTATTCCAATTGTATTTGGGGTACAAAATAATGTTTCTTGTTTGACTACAAAATGTTGAATGTTTAGTGAGATAAAATATCGATTTCTAACCCACTTTTACCATGCTGGACATGGATTATTCAAGTTGTTTCCCCTTAGGTTTTTCCCCCTTTGGCTGCCTATTACTTTTGCCATAAAATCACAATTGTATGTAGTCTGCGAAGATTGTCTCAATGAATGTTTTTTGTCATCCCTCATCTTTTAACACAAACGAGAGAAATACAGCTTTTATCTTTCCCCAGAGACTGAGAGGTCCCTGTGACTGAATCAACACTCTTACATTCAGCAGCTTCTTCATAGCAGTGCATTTGTACCACTAGATTAGGGAGACCTTCTCAGTTACTGTATGCTTTGGGGAGCCCATCTCATTAAGAAAGGACACAAGTGAAAAAATGTGAACATTTTATTGCTGTGTTTTGATAATCCGAAAGGATTGTGGCCATATTTCGTTTCCTCCTCCTTTCATTGCCCCCTGTTATGGGCCAGGCTCTTAATCTGTGATCCAACTTCAACCTGGTGGTGGCCAGGTGTTCATTTTAAGCAGTATATTACCACCTATTATTCTGCTGATTGAAAAGGTGTAACTTCTTAAAAAGTAAAGTACTACAGACCATATTTTTAAACGTATATATTCCTTATATTATCTCATTCATAGATGTAGTAATTTAGCTAAACATATATTTTAATTATTTTTCAAAATCCATTCATTCTCATCAAGTAGATCTTGAGTCTGCAGAACTGTTGTATGATACATACTTTATTTGTACAGATTTCTCTAATACACAGTTATCTTTTTATACAGAATTTTACTGTATTTTTATTCTGGAAACAGGTTACTCAGCTAATATATTAAAAATAAAATTTTATTATTTGAATATAAAATATATGTCCAACCAACAATGATGATAGGTTACAATGGAGCTTGAAATATCCTTCCCTGAGGAAAATTAGCTTTTTTATAAAATCATTTGTTCTATTCTATATTCCTTAAGCAATTTTATCTAGTTAGGGGCAGAGAATAGTGAAATTAAAAGGTGAAAGATATTTTGTATCTTTAAGCTCTTTTCTACTTTATTACAAAAGACAATGTGAGATAAAATGTAAAGTTCAAAATAGTTTTGAATAACAAGATGAAGTTGGAAATTTCTTGTAAAAGGGGAAAGATTTAAAGAAGCAAAAGGCATACAAAATTGATTATTCATAAATTTTATGCTACTTAGCTTTCACCTGGATTAGTACTGACACAAAAGCAGATAATGTTCAGGTTAAATAGTATCTATAACAGAGCTGGTAGTGTAAAAATTTGTTGGATTTTCTCCCCTAACAATCCTTCACTGGATTGGGCTATTGAAATTGAGCTTGCCTTTATTTCTGGTGATGGATTTGCTCAGACAAAATAGAGAAGTTGCCAATGCTCTTGGATTGTTTAAAGAAAAAAAAAATACCATGTATCTAGTGTCTTTAAGTAAATCCACAGTGAATTAGGACATTTGTATGTCAGTTTACCTTTTAAAATAAAAAAATAAGAACCCCTTGAAAGGAATATCTTTCCAAGAATGATATTAGACCCATAATTCTAGCCTAGCAGTGATTCAAGAGAGAATGATACTCACTGAATTAGTCAGTAGAATGCTCCCGTACTCTATGATAGATCATATGATGGTTGAGCATGGGGTAAGTTTATTCCCTTGATTATCACACTAAATAACTAAGACTTTGTTTATCCAACTGATTTAACTAGAAGACCTCAGAAAATGAGCCCTGATGATGCAGCGGTTAAGCGTTCAGATGCTAACCGAAAGTTCGGAAGTTCAAGCCCACCAGCTGCTCTGTGGGAGAAAGATGTGGCAGTCTGCTTCCGTAATGATTACAGCCTTGGAAATCCTACCGGACAGTTGTACTCTGTCTTATAGGGTTGCTATGAATTGGAATTGACTGGATGGCAACAGATTGGTTTTGGTTTTTAGATGACCTCAGAAATTCTTTCAAACTTCTCTATGAAAAGCTTCTGGAAATAAATGCAAATTTGATTGAAAAATAGAATTTCTAGCTTCATTATGTAATAGTACCTTCAGGAAGCCAGTTGAAATCTAGACTGTACTTTAAAGCAGATTCACAGTCTTGAGGAAGAGCAGATCAAATCTGTAGACCGCAGTCGGTATGTCAAGCTTAGCCCGTGTAAATGAGAAGTTTCCTGAGACACTCTCATGCCAGGATTGTAAAAATAGAGTAAACACTTGCGATGAAGTATTCTGTTGTCATCATACTTGTTTTTATCAAATTTAGAAGTTTGTGTATGTGTGTTGTGCATGCATATCTTAGATGTAATAATACTAATAAAGGAAGTATGATGATTCAAATTTATGGGTATGCCTTTTGATATCTTTTGATTGGAGGCTACACTAGAGGCCAAAGTTGCATAAGTCTGCAACTCACTGGGGCAGTAAGCTTGTGTTAATGTCTATACCCTGAGTGTATATATTTACACCTAATAGAAGAACCAATTCCGTCTTGAACCCCATGTTTTTCTTGGCGGGAAGAAAGGCTTAACAAAATGTAATTAGTAGAAACAGTGACACTCTGTTTACAATGCCAAATCTGGCTCCCTGTTGTCTAGTTCTTTTAGGCATTTGCTGCATGAATTTCATAAGCTTCATCAAAGTAAAGCTGAATATTTGTAAAAGACCCTCATAATAATTGGCCATGCAAATGATTAGCTTTTGGTTTGATACATAACATACTAAAAGCATATGCGTTCCCCCCTTTTTAACAGGTATAAATCAAATGAAGACTACGTATATGTTAGAGGACGTGGACGTGGAAAGTACATCTGTGAGGAATGTGGGATTCGCTGTAAGAAGCCAAGCATGCTTAAAAAACACATCCGCACTCATACTGATGTACGGCCTTACGTATGCAAGTTATGTAACTTCGCCTTCAAAACAAAAGGTACAGGGCTGGGGTTTTTAGGAGGAAAGATGCTTTTATTATGACTGCTTAAGATTCTGAGTACTATTTTATATCTAACATCCATTGACAATAAGATAGCTTTGTGAAAATATGACTCCACGAAATGTTTTTTATCCCTCATCAAAGTGATCAAAGGATGTATGTGAGACTGTGAGGCTCCTTTTACGACTTAATTAAGAGCTATAGGCTTGCGTCCAGGCCAGTTGTCTCCAAAGGAAGTGGCTAAGAATTGCCTGGATAGCTATTACTTCATGCTGGAAATGTTATGTGGTCTAGATTATATTTGCACCAGCATTGAAATGCTACAAGGAAACAATGCATGCAGTGGCATTAAAAACCAAGGCAGCAGCTGGGAAGAAAGCATGTGCCCATGGTCAGTTTCAAGTTCATAAATATTATAGAGATCCACAGACTCCCAGGTGGGCCACTCCATCCACAGCTGCATTAATTATGCATAGAAATGTGATAGCTTGTGTTCCCATGTATTTATCTGCACAGAGACAATTGCTTACTCTGAGGCCACACTGTTAATCTCATAAAATTAAGATTTGCCTTAAAATGATATTCTGTCATTAAAATAAAAAAATCTACTTCTAACAAGTAATTTATATAAAATATTTTACATAAGAAAGATGCTTCCGTTAATGCTTTTATCGTTTTATGAAATTATGAAAATACTCAGAAACCCAGTGTTCTCAGAATATGAAAAGTAGTGATTAGAAGTGGCTTGACTTTTGTAGAAGTATGTTTTGCATTAGCGCTAATGGATGCTACAGACACCCCCTCACCAATCTGCCATCATTTCCAATCTTTTAAGTTTGCATACCAATTAACCTGCTCCACTGTCTGTAAATCCAAATAAATATCAAACAAAATAATCTTTGGTAGATAAATGTATAACTATTTTCTCTTTATCTAAAAGCTACACTTGTAGTCAAAAATCCTAAATTGTTTTACTAGTTTGTCAGAAGGGTAAGTGTGTAACCTCTGATTCTTTTTATTAAAAAGGTATCTGTATTAAAGCGTGCCTCTATTTAAGCCATAAAAGAGGAGGGAGTGTTCATTTGCATTTCCAAAGAAATAAGAATGAAAAATAAATAAGTAAATAATGTATAAGGTCTTTCGTGTCCCATCTGGATTGCATGGGAATTAGTTTCGGAGCCCGGGTGCGGTAATGGTTAAGTGTTAGGCTGCTAACCAAAATGTTGGCTGTTCAAATCCACCAGCCGCTCCTTGGAAACCCTATGGGGCAGTTATACTCTGGCCGATAGGGTCGCTATGAGTCAGAATCAACTCAAAGCCAATGGGTTTTTTAAAGATCTTTTAAATACTATCCGCCTTCCAACAATCAAGCCTTTCATATGGACCTTTACTGTGATAGTCCTTAGGAGATAAGGAAACGTGAACTTTGACTTTTAGGAAATACTACAAATTCACCAGGCATTACAAATGATATATCTGCACTGGACATATGAGTTGGCTGCAGGTATAGCTATGGGAAAAACAGGGGTGAACAAGAAATGGCACATTTTTAGATTTTTTTTTTTTTAATCAAATTAAATTTGGCTCTAAGCCATTGTCCTGGAGTTTTAGCAGGAAATATAATTTACTCTTGGTCATTATTGGAGTTTCCTTGTCACCCTTTGGGAATGTACAAATGTCTTGAAATCCTAAAATGAGCAAAATATCCTGGGAAGTCCTGCCAGTTTTCGGTTCTAGCTGAAAAGCCTTTTATCGAAACCAACATAAGCTGAAGCACTGACGGGAGGTGTATGTGTATAGGGCTAATCCCTTCTTTCCTGCACCATTCCTTTAGGCTGTCTCCCTTTGCTGCCTTTCTCCATGGCCTTCCTTGCCCCAGTCCCTCGAGAAGTTCATGACATCAAAGAACCAAAGCCAGAGTGGGGTTGCTTCAGATTCATATTTCTAACCACAAACTTGCTTTGCAGAGGGGCGATCGAAGCCTGACTACCTACTTGAAACAGTTGGAGAGAAAAATATAGGAGAAGAAGTACATATTAAGATTTAAATAAATTATCCTGACACCTAAAAAACACCTATACACATACCCAGCTTCTTGCATCCTTGCAGAAATAGATGATTTATATTAATTTATAGATAGATTTCATTAATTTAGGGGTCCCTGGGTGGTGCAAAATGGTTAACGTGCTCAACTGCTAACCAAAAGGTTGGAGGCTTGAGTCCATCCAGAGGGGCCTTAGAAGAAAGGCCTGGAGATCTACTTTTGAAAAATCAACCATTGAAAACTCTACGGATTACGGTCCTCTGATACACATAGGGTCACCGTGAGTCAGAATCCACTCAATGACAACTGGTTAACTGGCTTCATTAATTTGTAGATTTAAGAATTCTGTTGATGTGCCCATAAAATTTTTTTGAGCTCCTTAACAAAATTGTATATATAATTATTTGATAAATAAGAGGCACTGCGGGTCTGGAAATATTTCTACATTTGAAGTTATCAAAATAGTATGTAAAATTCATAGGTATAAAAGAATAAATAAAATATTAAGTAAGTAATAAAAGTAAAAAATATATAAGTATAGAAAAAACAAACAATACACCAGTTTAGAATTATGGTTCATAATTCTAAGCTAACCAAAATTCCTAACCCACTTCTGTCAAGTCGATTCCGACTCATGACCCTATAGGACAGAGTGGAACTGCCCCATAGGATTTCCAAGGCTGTAGATCCTTATGGAAGCAGACTGCCACATCTCTCTCCTGTGGAGCACTAGTGGGTTCCAACCGCCAACCTTTCAGAGTAGAGACTGAGGTAGCTCTGCTTCTTGTGTTCCTTGTCTCTTCAGCTTATGCTTCCTCATTCCTTGGCCTCTGGCCCCACTTCTGCCCCATTGGGGCAAGTGTTCCAAATCTCTTTAGCTCCACCGATAAGTGCCTGTAGGTACCCCACTCTGCCAGTAAACTTTGGGCAGAAGGTACTCAGCTCTCTTGCTCCATGGGTTGGCAAGCCTAGCTTCACCAATAGGTGCCCAGAGGTACCCCACTCCTGCACAAAGCACTCAGCTCTCTCGCTCTGTGTGTTGGCTCTAGTGCTGTCTTGTGCTGGTCTCCTGGTTCTGCTGGTGCTATTTCTCTGCTGCAGCTTCTCGCCATCTCCAGTGTAATAGCTCTCCTCATTTCCTTCTGAGTCCTCATCAGAATTGTCTTTGATGTCCATAATTCCACCAACAGTCTCTTCAAGGCAATCTAGACTTTTACTATTAGTCACTTTAAAACTCTTCCAGCCTCTACTCATTCACAGTTTCAAAACTGCTTCCACATTTTAGGTATCTGTTAGAGCAGCACCCTACTCTCAGTACCAAATTCTGTCTTAGTTATCTAGTGCTGCTATAACAGAAATATTACAGTGTAGGAGGCTAGAAGTCCGAAGTCAGCTCCAGGGGAAGACTTTCTGTCATAGAAATTTGTAGAAATAGATATATGTACATAAAGATAAATATAGGTATAAATGGTGTGTATGTATGTACATATATATAGCTATATACACCTATATGTATCTTTATACATATATATACATAATTGTATGTATCATCATCATCATAAATATTTAATATGAAACTTTCTATTTTCTTAGAACGAAGGGAGTCTCAAAATAAAATAAGGAGGGAATATTGCTGTTCCAGAATATTAGAAACTATTGTCATAAAGTTTGCTAATATGACAAACAGATTGTTGTTGTTAGGTGCCCTCTAGTCATTTCTGACTCATGTCGACCCTATGTACAACAAAACGAAACGCAGCCTGGTTCTACACCATCCTCACAGTCTTTGTAATACTTGAACCAATTGTTGCAGCCAATGTCAATCCATCTCGTTGAGAGTCTTCCTCTTTTTGCTGACTCTCTACTTTACCAATCATGATATCCTTCTCCAGGGACGGTTCCTCCTGATAACATGTACACAGACCGTGAGACGAAGTCTTACCATCCTCACTTGAAAGGAGCATTCTAGCTGTACTTTTTCAAGACAGATTTGTTCGTTCTTCTGGCAGTCCGTGACATATTCAATATTCTTCGTCAGCACCATAATTCAGAGGAAATCAATTCTTCTTAGGTCTTCTATATTCATTGTTCAGCTTTCTCATGTATATAAGGCGATTGAAAACACCATGGCTTGGGTCAGGAGCACCTTAATCCTCAAAGTGATACGTTTGTTTTTGAACACTTTAAATAGGTCTCTTACAGCAGATTTGCCCAGTGCAATACATTGACAAACAGATAGGTGCTAAATATTGGGAATAATCAGGACCTCTGGTGGCAACAGTGGTTAAGCATTTGGCTACTAACCAAAAGGTTGGCAGTTTGAATCTACCATCCAATCCTTGTAAGCTCTATGGGGCAGTTCTGCCCTGTCCTATAAGGTGCTGTGAGTAGGAATCAACTCAGTGGCAATGGGTGTATAAATAGTTAGCTGAGTATTTTCAAAGATCTTTTAATTCATTTGTAGGCTTGGTACTCACATTAGTTTTTGTATTTTTTTTTCTTCTGACCAGTGAGGATCCTTGGGAGTTAATCTAGATCTGATTGGTGCCTGGAAGTCTAGGGCTGAGTGGGTAGTATTAATGAGAATATTTCATTCTGATGTTTCTCCTAGGTATGTGACCCAGCTCATATTGCTCTGTTTATATGGAGTCTCAGGAGGCTGCCCTGTTCAGTCTAGGCAAATATGTTAGGTCCCTTCTCAGGCAGGAAAGGCTGGGATGCCCATCCCTGCTTAGAGCTTACGCCAGAAAAGAGGTAACCCTCACCCTCCACACATGTTCTAGAATAAAGAAAACCTGAGATTAGGCAGAAGCTCTCAGGAGTTTACATCTTCAGACGCCAGATTGTTCCTTTTAAGGTTGAAGCAAGGGATAGTGGTAGAAAAAAATCTGTTATCCTTAGTTCATTCAGCATTAAATTTTTTGAAAAATGATCAAGTCAGTGACCAGTTCTGTCTTTCTCTCTCTTTTTTTTTTTTTTTTGGTTGTGTTTGCTAGGAAACCTAACGAAGCATATGAAATCTAAAGCACACATGAAAAAATGCCTGGAGCTGGGAGTCTCAATGACATCAGTAGATGATACCGAAGCTGAGGAAGCAGGTATGTCAGAGTTTAGTTGGCTGACCTCTTCACTGTGTACACTGGGGCTCTGTGGCTGAGGTGGCAAAATAAGTGTCAGTTTTTTCAAAGCTGGTAAGATTTGATTGAATTAAATATTAAATATAGAAAAGAAATCTGATACATTGAATTGTTTGAAATCTATTGAGGAGAAATAAATATATTTCAGTTGTGATTGAGGAGGTAAATGGCCTTATTATGAAAATAGTTTCATCTAGAACCATGGAAGAAATCTAATTCTACTTGTATTGTGATGATGATTTAAATTTTATGATTTTTTGGGAAATTCGAAAATCATTTTAATGTGTTATTGTTCCTATTAAGAGGAAAGGTAGTAGAAAAAGAAATCCATCATTGACATCAATAGAAAACCTGGGGGTCAAACTGACCTCCTGATACATACCACTTATATATAGTTCAAGGTCCCTGGGTGGCACAAATGATTTGTACTAGACTACTAATATAAAGGTTGGTGGTTCAAACCTACCCAGCAGTGCCACAGAAGAAAGGCCTGGTAATCTGCTTCCATAAAGATTACAGACAAGAAAACCCTATGGAGCAGTTCTACTCTGTAACATTCCGGGTTGCCATGAGTTGAAATTGACTTGATAGCCATGGGTTTGGTTTGGTTTTTATATATAGGTCTGCACCTGTGCCTGTAAAGACAGGTTGTCACTTGTCTTGTAACATTATCATTAACACCAACTGTCCCCATTTGCTGAGGGTTTTCTATGAATGGGGTGATGTGCTGAGATAAAAGTTCATACTATGGAGGCTTATTGCAGGGTGTGGATGAAACCAGACAGGTACATAGAAAGAGAAAAAACAATGCAAGTTCACACAGGCTGACTGCTGCCAATGAGTGTTGTAGGAGTTCCGAGGCAGAACTATGACTTTGAACTGGAGGGCTGGGAAAGCTTTTGGAAAGAGATGAGTCCTAAATTAGTTCTTAACCATGATGTTTGGATCTTGATCTTCACTATCTTTCTTCAAATTGTTTCAGAAAATATGGAAGATTTGCACAAAGCAACTGAGAAGAACAGCATGTCCAGCATTTCAACTGATCATCAGTTCTCAGATGCCGAGGAATCGGATGGTGAAGATGGAGATGAGAATGATGATGATGATGAAGATGATGATGACTTTGATGACCAGGGAGATTTGACACCAAAAACAAGATCGAGAAGCACCAGTCCCCAGCCTCCTAGGTTCTCTTCCTTGCCTGTGAATGTTGGCGCTGTACCCCATGGGGTTCCTTCAGATGGTTCGCTGGGACATTCTTCATTGATCAGTTATTTGGTTACTTTGCCGAGTATTCAGGTTACTCAGCTCATGACACCAAGTGACTCATGTGAAGATACCCAGATGACAGAATACCAGAGGTTATTCCAGAGCAAAAGTACAGACTCAGAGCCAGACAAAGACAGGTTAGACATACCTAGTTGTATGGAAGAAGAATATATGCTGTCTTCAGAGCCTAGCTCTTCACCAAGGGACTTCTCACCCTCAAGCCGTCATTCCTCACCAGGATATGATTCTTCACCCTGTCAAGATAATTCACCAAAGAGGTATCTGATACCCAAAGGAGATTTATCACCCAGAAGACATTTGTCACCTAGGAGAGAACTGTCACCATTAAGGCATCTTTCACCAAGAAAGGAAGCTGCATTGAGAAGAGAGATGTCACAAAGAGATGTTTCCCCGAGAAGACATTTGTCCCCAAGGAGGCCACTGTCACCTGGGAAAGATATCAGTGCAAGGAGAGACCTCTCCCCCAGAAGAGAGAGAAGATACCTGACCACCTTAAGAGCACCATCACCCAGAAGGGCTTTATACCATAATGCGCCATTGTCCATGGGGCAGTATTTGCAAGCAGAGCCAATTGTATTGGGGCCTCCTGTAAGTATAATCAGCTTTCTCTTTTTAATATATAAGTCAAAGTGTAGAATTTATAGGGTCACTATGTATCAGAACTGACTCCACAGCAGTGGATTTGTTTTTGTGTTTTCATTTCTCATGGCGAGGAGTAAAATTGGTTACTGAAAATAGCAGAAAGACATTTTTATCCCAAGCTTTTGTGTGTCGAATGAGCTGTGGCATTACCCCAAGTGTGGTATTACATCAGAGCTCAGTGCATTTCCAGCTGGTAACAGGTGAGGCCTTCATAAATGCTTTCTAAGCCAAACTAATTATAGGCACTAACTGAAACCCTCACATGATTAAAAGAGTGAAGCCTTTGGAATTACATGAATGCATAGACACTCACAGGGCCACTTAGGTGTCATTTATATACCTTTTTGCCAGGTAAGGATTCTGACTCAATCATTATCCTTGATGTTCAAACTTTTTTTTTTTAATACACTTATTTCTTTGTCCACAGCCAGTGGATGTGTGAAACTAGCAAGGGGCTGATTGTGTTTGTAAATCAAAGGCATAAGCATATTTGCGTTTCCTGCCATTCCCAGCAACTCCTGCTACTGAGGGAACTTGCTGGGTGAGCAATAGAGTGAGAGGGTGGGCCCAAAGAGAACGGGGAGCTGGGAGAGCAAAGGGGGAAAGCATCAAAGAAGATTTGTATGATTATGCCTCCTTTACAATTTAAGAGAATGGCAGCCATCATGGATTAAATGTAAGCAGTAGGTTTAATGTTCATCAATACAAAAACACCCTGCCCCTGCCTCACTCTGTGGCACAGTAGACCTTAATGTCTGCCCCATAGGGTTTCTAAGAAGTGGCTGGTGGATTCAAACTACTGACCTTTTGGTTAGCATTGGAGCTCTTAACCACTGTGCCACCAGGGTTCCTCAGTTTGTTAGAATTTTTAAAAACGAATGAAGCAGACACTTAGCATAGACAGAAGAATGATTCCTCTTGAGTTTGTTTGCTTTAAATGTGTTTGTTCTCTCAGTCCCTACTCTTTGTTGTACTCTCTTTCCCCTGGATTTTTGTCATGTGGATCAGCACTATCCTTTGCAGCCAAGGGAAGCACTGATGGCTCCCTGCTCTGTCATATCAGTGCCCTGGTGGCCATGTTCCTCCCTCCCATCTCCTTTCACCAGCCTGCATCATAAGCTTCGATTGTCGTTTTTAAGCTTTTGGAGAACTCCCTGCTGCATGCTGCTTTCCTGACCCCAACAGTCTTTTCACAAGTCTGGTACCACCTTAGATATCATGGAGTAGTTACTGCAAAAACAGGCATCTTTTATAGCTTATGCTATTGCAGCATAAAACCAAAACCAAACCTGTTGCTACTGAGTCAATTCTGACTCACAGCAACCCTACAGAACAGAGTAGAACTGCACCATAGAGTTTCCAAGGAGCAGCTGGTGGATTCAAACTGCCAACTTTTTGGTTAGCAGCTAAGCTCTTAACCAGGGCTCCCGTGGCAGCATAGACAGCTGTAAGTTCCTTGGGTTGGAGAATACCATGTCTAGGGCGTGACATGCTTTCTCAGGTATAGTGGAGATCTTTGAGATGAAACAATTCTGGCGCAGGTTGGTAAGATGAGGCTCACCATGCCCTCACGGCAGCCCTTGCTGCAGCATTGACCAGGTGCATTGACACTGTGATATTCATGAGATGTTGGAGCACATTCAGTCAACTGTGGTTAGAAAAAGTGGCCTGTAGTGCAAATACACTGTTATTAAAATATCAGCAAACAGTTAACCTGGGGAAAGGAAGGGGCAGGGAGGTTGGACTAAGGGAGTTATCTAATTTTTGGATATATGCCCAGAAAGCTGTTACTGGAAGGAGGGAGGTTTTGAAGCAGGTTTGTTTGTTTCTTTTTTTAAACCATCTCATCTGGATTTTTAATTGTTGCTAAACTTTACCATTTACGAAGCCCAGATTCTGAGCCTTTGGTCTACTGTCAAGTTTAATTCTCTTTAGACAATTTACAGCCTGCAGCTTTGTTCACATGAAATGAGGGAATGTATCTGGAATCCTCCATAAAACAGGAACTGCTGGTCCCAAACACTTCCCATTTTATGCTTTATCACATCATTTTGAGTGGGAGAGGAAGATTTCTGTCTTTGTGTAAACAAGATTTTTGTTGCGCAGAGTAAACTAAAGTTGACAATGCTATGAGAAGGATTTTTCCTAATTGCTGTATTAGATGGCAGCTTCACCTTCTCTGAATAAATGATGTAGGAGATATTAAGTTGATATATTAATACTACAAATAACCCTTTTTTGTTGGAAATTTTGTTAGCAACACTTTGTCTCTTTGCTCAACATTGACTGAGGTCATGGGACAGTGACCGCGGCATAGAAGGGCCTGGAGCCCAGCAGGAAACACTGTCATCTTCTGTCTCGGTCTGGAGTGATAGGCCCAGGAGCAGGTTTGGGGAGAGATATGCAGTCACTAGGATTCCTTGCTGCCTTGTCATTTCTCCCCTAATGCCTTCTGGTTAGTTTTAATTTTAAGATAGATGGAATAAAAAGGTAAGAGTCTTTTATTCATTCATTCACGAAATATTCTTCAGGATCTACTCTGTATGCCTTGAGAATGATGATGAAAAAAATGTATGGTCTTTGACCTCATCTTTTATAAACCAATACATTTCCTTCTCTATTTTTAAAGTTTTGATAGCTAAGTGGCAAGGAGAAAGAAAAGTGTGTCCTGGTCCTCAGTAGATAGTGTAGATGAACACTGTGTCTAGTGAAATCAACATTCAGTTCCCTCCCTTGCTATCTGTGTGATCTTGGGCAAATCAGATTAACCTCTTGGCTGCTATTTCTTAACCTGTTTGAGCAGCCCCAAAGGTGAGCCACGAAGATTTCCCTCCCTGACAGAACTGGACTTTCAGCTGTGAGGAGTGGGGTATGCCAACAGCCCCCAACTGTTAGCACCTTCAGGATGGGCCTCAGCCCTCAAGCCTATGACTGAGCCCAGATCAGTCACAGATGAGCACTACTTCCTCTCTCTTTTATCTTTCATGTGAATTCACCCTTCCCCTCCAACCCGTAAACCTCTTGTACTCCTACCTCCTTCTCAGCATTTGTTTCCCAGAGAACCCTACTGGCACACTGTTCAAAAGATGAGTCGGTATTATATCTGGTACATGGGATAGATGGACATGGATATGGATATAGATACAGATATGAGGCAGTGTTGGTTCAGTGGTAAAATTCTTACCTTCCATGCAGGAGTCCCAGGTTCAATTCCTGGCCAATGCACCTCATGTGCAGCCACCACCTCTCTGTCAGTGGAGGCTTGCATGTTACTATGATGCTGAGCAAGTTTTAGAAGAGCTTTCAGACCAAGACGGACTAGGAAGAAAGGCCTGGAGATCTACTTCTGAAAATCAGTCAGTGAAAACCCTATGGAATACAACGGTTCAATCCTCAACCAGTCATGGGGATGATGCAGGACTGGCAGTGTTTTATTCCATTGTACATGAGGTCACCATGACTCGGGGCCAAACTTAATGGCAGCTAACAACAAAAACATAGCTATAGATACAGATATAGATAGGCATTTAACACAATCCACAGTGAATTCATTGTTTATATTTCAATATCAAGATTTTTCTTACTGAGGTTTATGTAAGATGGGAATTTTTCCATCATATTATGATAAGGCCCAAATTACAAAACAGAATAGGATTGCAAGTAAAGTAAACACCAAAGTAAAGAAAACGTATTCAGAGTTCATTTACAGGGTGAAGAAGGGGTGAATGAGAGGAGAGAGAATGTGTGGAAATGCCCAGCAGCATTTGGATCAGTGGAAGTGTTAAATGATGGAAATTCTACATGTCCACTTAATTCTATGCTTGTAATCATTTGATTTCTGATCAGTAAATATCTGAATAAGAAACTTTTATTCTTAACACAAATACAATTTTATTGAATTTAGAAGATAATGAATATATTTTAGTTTTTGTGGCTAATTCATCACTCCTTTTGCTAGCCTTGAGTCAGGGATCTTAAATCACTTCATGTAATGGGACATCTTTCCCTTTGGCTTCTGCTGGCCCACTCACTTGGCCCCCTCACGGATGACCATTCTGATTAGGTGTATGTATGGGACAAACAAAAAGAAAAAACAACCAAGCTACATTTTATTTTAAACTTTGAATCATTGATAACTGTAATTAAAAGAAGATTCATTTGACTATCTTCAAAGATTAGTATTGCACGGATTTCATTTCTTTCACCTTAACTGGTATTTGATAAAGAAGGCATGCCTTTTTCTAAACCAGAGTAGACACAACAGGGATCTTTTGTGGCATTTAGGTGATCTCTCTTGTATCATAAAATTCTACCTGGTCTTTCCTAGCTTATTGAGGTCCTTGTGGTTACAGGGTTGGTAAATACATCATTTCGTACACACTTCCAAGGAAGTCATTTGTTTCTAGCTTGAATAAGGTGTAGCTCAGAGCAGGGTAAAGGCCAAGTATGGTACAGGGAAGCAGAGATAATGCGTAATTTATAGTTCCTGAACTAGTTTCAAAATTTGAGTAGAACTGGATGCACCATTAATACTATAGAGCTTACTCTGAGATCTGAAACATCCTTGAAATACAACATTTGTTTGTCTCTCCTGGATTGCTACCATACTTGAGAGGTTTATATCTAATTTTAAGTTCCCAAAAAAAAAAAAAAAAAAACTGAGTCCCTTTTGGATGCCCATCTATTAAAAGAATGAATCTCAGTTAAGTTATTAAAACCTGATAATCTCATTGTGTATTTCTAAGTTGCGTCTAGCTATACAAACAAGTGTAGACAATTAGTTCTGCATTTCCAGGAATGGTACTGTGAAATCTGAAATTCTGGCCCAGAATTTTAAGTTATCTTTAATTCATTAACAGCCAAGAAGATATTTAAGTGGGAATAATAATATAAAAAGAAGAATCAAAACACAATCATCTTTGGTTAGCAGTTATATAGTTGAATATGAGTTTTAACTTTTTGAAATATTTAATGTTAACTACTGCTCTGATGGGTAGTTTCCTTATAAAAACTGTCATTGATATAAGACTTAAATAGCCTTGATTTGTGATTTGATAAAGAAGCTGGCCTTCAGCATGAAATGTTTCTGTAGCAGAAATTTATTCTTTTAAACCAACATCTTCCACAATGTCCGAGGGTTGTCACTACCATTTTGTCATCAATTCTGTGGAAACTGAAAACACCAATTTTCAGACTTGGCAATCCAATTATACTCATAAACACTTAAGAAAAATAGTAAAAAATCTGCCAGTACATAAACAAATGGTAATCTTTGTATTTCTAAAATACATGGGTATATTTTTATTTAGTTGGAGCTGTTACTTTTTAATTAGTAAGTCTGTTATTGGTATAAACTTTTTCAGGTAATCATCCATTATTTTCTTTTCACTCTCTCTTATGAAAAAACAAAACTGAAATTTATCTCTGTACCTAGTGGAGAATACACTGAATACTTTATCACATTGTTTTTCAAAAACAAAAGTAACTTTTCACAGTCTGACAAGTTCATTCAAGGATTATAGACAACAACTGGAAAATATCTTTTGTCTTGAAAGACAAAAAATCGATAAAAGGATAAGGTGGTTTTAAAGTGTTTTGAATGAGTGGATGAATGAAATAAGAATGAAGAGTCCTGGGTTCTGAATAGTGTGCTTTCTTTGTTTCCCTGTGCAGAATTTAAGAAGAGGATTACCTCAGGTTCCTTACTTCAGTCTCTACGGAGACCAAGAAGGTGCTTATGAACATCAAGGCTCCAGCCTTTTCCCTGAGGGTCCTAATGACTATGTCTTCAGTCATCTTCCACTCCACTCTCAGCAACAAGTGCGAGCTCCTATTCCCATGGTGCCAGTTGGTGGGATCCAAATGGTTCACTCCATGCCGCCGGCCCTTTCCGGTTTACATCCTCCACCCACCTTGCCTCTGCCAATGGAGGGCTCTGAGGAGAAGAAAAGGGCTTCAGGGGAGTCCTTCTCTAAGGATCCCTATGCTATTTCTAAGCAGCACGAGAAGCGATCACCCCACGTCTTGCAGTCATCTGGTCCACCTAGCACTCCTTCCTCTCCTCTGCTATTGATGAAACAGAGCACTTCAGAAGACAGCCTAAATGCAACAGAGAGGGAACAGGAGGAAAATATCCAGACTTGTACAAAAGCCATTGCCTGTCTACGGATTGCCACAGAAGAGGCCGCTCTGCTTGGGGCAGATCAGCCAGTGCGGGTGCAGGAGCCCCAACAGAAACCCTTGGAAAGCGCACATGCTAGCATTAGACACTTTAGTGGACCTGAGCCAGGTCAGCCCTGTACCTCAGCTACCCACCCTGACTTGCCTGATGGTGAAAAGGACAGTTTTGGTACATCACAGACCGCATTAGCTCATTCCACATTTTATAGCAAGAGTTGTGTGGATGGCAGACAGGCGGGCTTTCAGTGCAGCAGTGAATTATCTTCAAGCCCAGAGGGAGGTGACGAACCTTCGTCAGGAAAGAGTAAACTACATTGATCTAAGATGCATGGAGACTTTCATTTACACATTTTCCCATTTTTTTGTTTTTCTAGAAATAGAGGTAATCAAGTTGATAGCATGCCTGTCCTAAGTTACAGTAGTTTGCTCTTATATATACTTTTGTTATATCAAAAGAATTAGGTAAAATAACAAGTCATCATGAGCCTGACCAAAACAAAATTTGAAATTAACCTATTGGGTCTGGTACTTTTAAAATTGTACAGATGTTTGTGCCTTTTCTTTACTTTGCTTATATTCTTATAAGCATTTTTTAGCAGTAATTTGTACATATTTTAGAATTTGTGTATCTGCTTTGTAATAAATGTAATTTCTTTCCCTTTTTGGACACTTGGATCTAAATGATGTAAACAAAACAGCATCAATATATATGTGAGGTTGCACTAAAACATATTTTTATATGATTAAAACTGAACAGCTTTTATGTACAGCTCTGATTCTGTAATACTAATATTTATTTACTTTGTTTCATAAATTGTACATTTTTTCTTAATGTTGTGGATTGCTTTTCTATGTGAAGCATGGGATTTACTGTTGCGTAACTAGAAAAAAATGTATATTGTAAACAAGATATTTAAACTAGAGTATCTTATTCTGCACTTATGCATTAGTTAAGGAAAAAAAAGATAAAGGATGTATCAGTCAGTTCTTAACTCTTGTAAATTTTTTTGTCCCTTGTTTGCTGGATTGACTATAACTTAAGTGCTGATTGTGATTTTAAACTGATAGTACCATAAAGCATTAAACAATGTGCTATTGTGAGTTTTTTCAAAGCTTTATAAATCAGTTATAAATAATATTAAAAGTATTTGGTCTTATGTGAACATGTTGATCTATATACTCATCTAAAAATATGGGAAAACATTCCGCCCCATGTAAATATGTACAAGTGCATCACTGGTACAATTTTATGTAACTCAGTTGGACACTAGGTTGCCCAGACCTATGCTAGAGTGTCTTTAAAAATTAAAGTGACAAAGCACATGGGACTGTGTAAAGCTTGGTTATCGGCCGGCCCGGTGGCTTGGCAGGCAGTGCTGTGCGCTGCCGGTGGAGAAGACCTGGGCTTAGAAATCTGCTTGGTTCTTGCTGCACAAGATGGCGACTGGAGCTAAGGCTAGTACAGAAGGGTTGCGCTTGGACTCTGAGGGTGGGGTGTGGAAGCAGGGATAGGGGATGGAGACCTGCTCACCAGCTCTTCCTGTCAGCCAGTCCACACGGTAACAGGGTTGGCATTAGCTTTAGGGGAAGCCACTTGACCCTCCTGAATGGGGAAGAGTGTCACACTCCTGGCTACCTCAGGGGGAACCGGGGAAAGAAGCTTTCAAGGGAAGAGAACTTGTTGTGGGAGGATGACGTGTTCTGTATATAACATTCAGAATGGCTTTTGGTTGGTGTTTGAAGGTGGGAGAGCCTTTGGTTGTAGGTCCTTAAGAGTGGAATAGAGGGAGGGCATGCCACAACATGTGCACATACACGCACATGTGTGCACACATGCATATACAACCTGGGTTATCTTTGTGCTATATAATGGATTATTCTGTGAAACCAAGTTTGTATATTGAATTACATTAAGGAGTGTTCTTTAAAAAGAGAAATAAATATACAATTACATGCTTGAGGTGTCTAGTTTGTATGTGTTGTTTAACATTTTAATTTACCAGTTTTCTTTCTAAAGGCATTTTGATGCTACCAACATACCACCCATGCTTTGAATTACTAGACTCTGCCTATCCTGAGGTATGCTGCATATGAATGCTTTCAACAAATGAGAAGACATGCTTTGGTTTTCACATGTCATCAGATAGTGGTTACCAAAGTGTAGGTTCTAGAAATGAATCTATCCAAACCCAAGCATGGGTATGGGGGGCATAGAATTATATCTGAAATGAGTCTTGAATAAAGCAAATTAACATTTTCCCTTGTGCCTCCCTCTCAGTATGCATATTTATCTAAAATTCCTCTAGGAAACCTCTCCTTTATTTTTGCTGAGGTGACTCAAGGCAAAAACCAACTGAAACATGCCATAAAATATCCACAATCACAGTTCTTTTGTTACAAGAGTAGAACTTTTTTTTATAATAAATGTAGAATAAAAGTAGAAGCTCATTGAAGACCAAAATCGATCAGAATTTCCATTATAAAAATTTCAAATTGATGGATTTACAACTTACCTATTTTATGAGCCAGACTGTCTTTTTAAACTAGGTTTTACAAAGGTGAATTAAAGTTCAACACAGCCAGCCTGCCTAATATCTGTCTCTCGCCAAGCAGAATCCTTGAAACATTTTGATTATGTAGGGTGGTTTGTGCGTCTTACTCCTCACTGACATTTGTGTATGTGTGTGTGTGTGATCCCAGGTTAAATCAAGTGATCATTTTTTTCTTTCTTTCCTCCTCTATAATTCATCACTCATGTATGCACTCCTTGATCCAATTCAAAAAACATTTTTGAGTGCCTACTATGGCTGTGTACTATGATAGGTACTAAAGGGTAAATAGGTTCCTGGGTGTGCCGATGGTTAGGTGCTCAACTACTAGCCGAAAGGTTGGTGGTTTGAACCCACTCAGAGGCTCCTTGGAAGATAGGCCTGGCAATCCACTTCCAAAAGGTCACAACATTGAAAACCCTATGAAGCAGTTCTACTCTGCATACATGGGGTCACCATGAGTTGGAATTGACTTGATGGCAACTAACAACAACAACGTAGGAACTCAAGTAAGTAGGTGAGACACATATGTGAGTAAATATGTATAATATGATGTAAGTGCTAAAATATGCATATATTTGGTGTGTTTTGTAAGCACAAAAGAGAGAGCAGTCACTGCTGAGAATGGGAAGAGGAATTGCCAGACTCCACCACAGAGGTGGCCTTGGAAAGATCCTTGAAACAATATAGTGACTCACTCATTCAACAGATATTTTTTAGCATCTATAGAGGGGCACTATTCTTGTGTTAGGTATACAAAGATGTACAAAACAGATTAAGTTCTTGGCTTCACAGAGCTTATATTCTAATGGGTGGGAGGCATAAAAAAATAAGTAGAAAAGGGTATGTCAGGCAGATGATCCAGGATGTGTGAAACAGTGAATGGATACAAAGCAAAATGCAGTTGGCCCCCTGGGTTTGTGGTTGAGTGGTCCATGATAAAGCTAGAAAGGCAGATTGAAGTCCAATTTTCTATTCTAGGCTGAGCTCAATCTGTAATCAACTGGAATCCAAGGAGAGATTAAAACAAGAAAGTCACATTTCTTTTTTGTAGTTACTTAGAAAAATCACTGCACATCCAGTGAAGAAAATGTATTTGTGGGAGCAAGAATAGAGGCAAGGACATCAGTTAGGAGAATTATAAAACTATGTCATTTCTATGGGAACAAGGACAGCAACAGTCCAAACAACAGATGATGGAGATCTGGAGAAAGAAGGGACAATTTTAGGAACAAAGAGAAATTGGTAATAGTGACTTATTTGGTGTTGGGGATGATGAAAATGGAGGAGTTGAAGATGATTGGCTGGAGCTTTTAACTTGGACATTGGAACGAGGGTGATGGTATTAAGCAACAAAACAGAGTGGATTTGTACAAGACGCAGGTGATGAGAAGGAGCTTCCCTGGTTTTACTCAAGCCATTCAAAATGGGGAGATTGACCTCTAACAAGAATGGCCTGAACTGGTTTGTCAGTTCTTGTCACTTAATCATAGCTGAGATTTCTAAACAGCATGAAATCTCCCAGAATATACAGAAAGGTAGAAGAAGAGGTTTCAAGGAAGAGTGGACAAGGAGCAAGGGAGTCAGCAAGGAGATATATTTCAGACATATTTTGTGTGCTAAGCCCCAACTATATATAGTGAGATTAGTGAGGCTTTTCAAAACTTGAGTATTGTAAGTTCTATAGACAATTTCTAGGAAAAAAAAAAAAAAAAAACTTTAGAACATCATTTTTTGAGGAAAAAGGCCAGTGAAAATGATTAGCTCTGCTGCTAACTGAAAAGCTGGAGTCCAACCCAAAGGCACCTTGGAAGAAAAGCCTGGCAATCTACTTCCAAAAAATCAGCCATCGAAAACTCTATGGAGCACAGTTCTACTGTTGCACACATCAGGCTGCCATGAGTTGGAAACTACTCAGCGGCAACTAGAAAAATAAATGTGTGATTATAAAGCTATGGTATTTCCTTAGTAGCATACTGGAAACTATTATTAAACAGTTAGCGAGTACTGAACTAACCTATTAATTTACAAATATCTCTTCCAGTGCCTGTGGTTCAGAGAAGTTAGGTGAGGTTTTTAAGGAAAAATAGGTGGTTAATTACAGAATCAAGGCTAAAACTGAGATCTCCTAACTCCCTGTGCAGATTTGCTTAAACAAACAAACACAAAACCAAACCCATTGCCATTAAGTCAATTCCAACTCATAAGTGACCCTATACGACAGAGTAGAACTGCCTCATAGGGTTTCCAAGGCTGTAAATCTTTACCGGAGACCACTGCCACATGTTTGTCCCATAGGGAGGCCGCTGGGTTCAAACTGCCAACCCTTCAGTAAGCAGCTGAGTGCTTAACCACTGTGTCACCAGAGCTCCCCAAACAAACAAAACAAGCAGTTATTTATGCTCCTTTCATTAGACCAGTTTTAAAATAAAAAAAAAAAAAAAACAGATTTACTAAGGGTGAATGAGCTCAGAGTAATACAAGAAGCACAAAGCTCATTTCTACCCTGGACAATCAAGGTTATTACTGGTTTAGAAAATCTTACTAAATATCATTGTATCTACTTTGCCTCAGTATAGTTTTCCCCACAGGGGAAGTTTAGTATCATATAGAGCACAGAAATGTTCCCATTCATTTCTGAGTGTGGAAAAATCTCTATTTACTCTACATTCAGTAATAAACCAAGTTCAATCATGTAGTATTTATACTGAAGAACATGAAAAGTGACAGGAAGTATTTTATTTTACATTAAAAAATGCCTAGGGTTTAACGAACAAAAGGTACCACCCTTCCACTTTCAAAAGCTATGTATGGATTATTTTATGTGTACACACCCATTGCTTAGCAAAAACTAGGGTCACCTTCAGGTACAAGTTAGTCATCAAAATGAACAAAACCAACAAGTTTACTGTCTGTTTAATTAAGTAGCTATATAATGTATTTCAAATTCAGCTATAGATCACGGCATTTCTTGTTGATATACATGTTTAATAATTATGATGAGTAAAATTTCTTTTCAGAAAAAAATGGAATGATTGGTGATGACATATCTTATTAATCATTGAAAAAAATCATGTAAATGAATAACATTTTCTCAAATAAAATTTTTCTGTTAAAAAAATGCCAAAACTAAACCCGTTGCCATCAAGTCAATTGTGACTCAGAGCCACCTAGAGAGTCATAAAATGGTATTAGTGATCAGGTCATATCCCTCAAAGAAAAATGAAAAGTTCAAGCAGGTTTGTGGATAATTCAGAGAGAAAAAGTAGAAGACTTCTCTAATGACAAAGCTTGGGATTACCTGAAAAACGGTATTGGTTATTTGCATATGTCAAACAGAAATCATGGCAGCAGGGGGCTGGGCAGTTTACTCTGAACACTTGATCTACCTATAAAAGCTGACAGGAATCTGCATCCTCATAGGTGTTGTCCATCTATAGCCAAGTGGCCAGCTCTGAGGTTCCTAGGTAGCACAGGTGATTTGCGATTGGCTGCTAACCTAAAGGTTGGTGGTTCAAACCCACCCAGCAGTGCCTTGGAAGAAAGGCCTGGGGATGACTTTTGAAGAGATAGGCAAGCTCCTGATAAGTTCCTTCTCCTCCTTCTGCCAGAAATCTCTGATAAAACCTAGGATGGAGAATGCACCATACTAGAATGCACCAGACTGAAGTGGGGTCTCCTACCTCCTGCCCTTAATCTACATGAATACATTCTCCAGCATGCCAATGGATGGACTGGGCTCCAAGAAGGGCTGTGACTCAGTGTACTCATTCTGCACAGAAATAGAGGTCTGTGGAGGAGAACTGTCTGCCCCTGGGCCCCTGGAAGTTCCACCTTGCTTTTCGATTTATCACAAGAAAGTAAACAGGAGAAAGCAGAAGCAAAGAGTCAATCTAGGGATTCTGTCTTGAAGTTGTGGTACAGCTCTGACCAATTAGGTAAGCAGCCATGCCTTGCCTTCTCCCACAGTGATGAAGGGGATAGGGAAGCGAAGACATGGAGGGATTTTCCTTCCCCTTCCTGCACTGCCATGCTGATTCTTCAGTGGGGTCCTGGGGAAAAAGCTTCACTTCTTTACCATTTCCCATTGGTGTAAGTAGCCAAACTGACATGGTTGTTGTTGTTGTTAGTTACCTTCTAGTTGATTCTGACTCATGGCAACCCCATCTGTGCAGACTAGAACTGTGCTCCATAGAGTTTTCAATGGCTGTGAACTTTCAAAAGTAGATTACCAGGCCTGTCTTCCAAGGTGCCTCTGGGTGAGTTTGAACTGCCAATCTTTCTATCAGTAGTGGAGCACTTAACGGTTTGCACCAACTAGGGACTCCAGCCAAGCCCATACACAACTATATTGGGAATTTACTCCTCTTGGGATAAAACCTACTATCACCAAAGACCCACTATTTCCC